CATTTATTCTTCGCTGATGATTCTTACCTGTTTCTTAGGGGCTCCCTTCAGGAATGTGAGAATCTGATCGAAGTGCTTAACGAATATGAGGAACTGAGTGGGCAAAAGGTCAATCTGGCGAAGTCGGCCGTTTGTTTCAGTAAGAACATCTCTTTTCCCGACCAAGAATTTCTTGCAGAAATCCTTGGGGTTGGTGCGGTTGGCGTTCAGGATAAGTATCTTGGTCTCCCTACGTTGGTAGCTCGGTCCAAGATGGCGACGTTTTGCTACCTGGAAGAGAAATTACTGGAACGTTTGCAGGGATGGAAGAGGCGGACCTTGTCTTGGGCGGCCAAAGAGACGCTGATCAAATCGGTCATTTTGGCTCTCCCGTTACATGTTATGGCTTGTTTCAAGCTGCCGCTGTCCCTTTGTCGCCTCCTTGACAGACATGTGGCTAGGTTTTGGTGGGGGGGGGGGGGGGGGGGGTAGAGGACGGTCGAAATAGAATTCGTTGGATGTCCTGGCAAAACCTGTGCTGGAGTAAACATGAAGGGGGATGGGATTTCGACGGTTCGAGCAGTTTAATCAGGCTCTTTTGGCCAAGATTGGATGGCGAATTCTTAACGAGCCTCACTCCCTCCTGGCCCAGGTCTACAAGGGGAAGTACTTTCCGAGGGGGTCTTTCCTCACTGCTTCGGCTCGGTCCCGGCCATCTTGGGGGTGGCAGAGTATCCTCTATGGGCGCCAATTGTTGGTGAAAGGAGTCCGATGGCAGGTAGGAATTGGACTGACGGCCCCTCTGCTCAATTCTAATTGGATTCCCAAGAAGCATCCTATCCCTCCAGTATATAACCCCCAAGTTCTCCCGGCTGGGGAGAGTTTGTCGGTGGCGGAGGTTATATGCCCTGGGAAAGGTCGTTGGTGTGACCGGAAGTTGAATCAGTGGTTTGATCCCCCTACTTGTAAGGAAATTAAGTCCATCCCTCTTCCTTGGCAGAATGTGGAGGATCGGTTAATTTGGCATGGTACTGCTGATGGGGTTTTCTCAGTTAAGTCCGCGTACCACCTAGCGGTTACCCTTGAACAGCAGAACGGTACATGGCGGTTGCTGGCTAGTTGGATGGATAAAAGTAGCTGGATCCAAGTCTGGGATGCTAATATCCCACCGAAGTTGAAGGTGTTTGTTTGGCAGATCCTGAATAGGATCTTGCCAACAACAGAAGCGCTTATTGAAAGGAAGGTGGTTGTGCTCCCTCGGTGTCCGGTTTGCTAGGCGGAGTCGGAGACGATTGGACACTTGTTTCTGGATTGTCCCGTGGCGCGTGCGCTGTGGGATCATGCTGGTCTAGAACATCTTGGCCAAAGCTTGCCCCGTCATACGTTCCCTCTCTTCCTCAAGAAGTTGTTGTCTCTCAGTCATCATCCGCCGCAGTTCATGGCAGTGGTTGCCGTCCTTTGGCGGATTTGGAAATCCAGGAACTGGGTTGTTTTTGAAGGCAAGCAGTTCGGGATGGCTGCTTTGATGAGATAGTACCACCAACAAATGGATGAGTGGGCGCGCATTCCGGTGGATTCCTCTCCTATACCAGTAGTCTTCTAGCCTGGTCCAGGGCCTCCGGCTAGGGCAAATGTGCTGGTATGTATGTGGGATGGGGCAGTCCGGAGAGAGTCTCATTCTGCGGGAGGGATAGTGGTCCTTACTCCTGAGAGGGCGATCCTGAGGGTAAGAGGCGTCCAGTTTCCATTGATTGATGACTCGTTGGTGGTGGAGCTTCTTGTCCTCCGCGAGGCTGTTCATTGGTGTTTGGAGCAGGGTTTTTCAGAGTTGGTGTTTGAAGGGGATGCTAAGGTGCTTATCGAGAAGATTAATAAGGGAGATATAGGGGATAGCCAGGCTGGATCTGTGCTGCAAGAAGTTGTCCAGATGTTCGCTCTTAATGTGGGCTTTAGTGTGCGATTTGTAGGTCGGAATAACAATAGGGTAGCTCATTTAGTAGCTAGACAAGCCCTTTCTTTGTCTCCGACTGCGTGTCGCTTATTTGATTTTCAGACCTGGCTGAATTCCAGGATGTAATGATCTTTGTCTAATGCAATATAATTACCTTTTGTCAAAAAAAAAAACATTGTTAAAATCAAGGACTTGAGTGAGTATTCAATGGCGAAATTAAGATTGGTTGATATTAGTCTCTCTATGGCATCTCGTAGACATTATCGCCTTTCTGAATATGTTGTGAAGATGTTGAGATGCTGATAATGATCACAGACACGGCCAAGTTGCTGCCTTGTTTCGTAATCTTTGAACTGGGATTGGGAGGCTAGAATTTCACATGTATATAGAGAAGCAAACTTTGCTGCCGATTTCCTGGCTAGTGTTGGTCACGACTCCCCTTTTGGCACACATCTCTTCGATGTGTGCAACCCGGGACTTACTAAATGGTTACACTATGATGTAATGGGCGTCGCCCAAGAACCTTCTATTACCTTAATGCACTAGACGCACAAGCGTCATCTTTTCTAAAAAAAAAAAAAAGATGTTGAGATGCGTCAAGTGATTATCTTATATAGACAAATTTATTATAATAGTTTATCATCTAGTTAGGTAATTAAGCAAATTCCCTTTTTCATGATTTATGATTACTTCCATAACTTACCGTGCTTAGTTTTTATTGTTCAAGATTATCAAGTTACTCAAGGAAATCAAGACAATTCAGGAAAAGAGGGTTATGCATGAAAGACAACTTGAGTTGCTCAAAATCCAAATCGATGCCTATGAAGAGTATGTCATAATCAGTAGTGATAAGAAATTTTGTAACGGTTAGCAGTAGATAAAGATGAGATCATTTCTGAAACATTTTATATTTCTGTAGCATGCATTGTATGGGAGAGAGAATGCAAATACATATATCGGTTCTGCACAGCTTCATCAAGGCCAATCAGTAAGTCATAGTCAGTTATAATTAGAGAATTTGTTAGTAGTTAGCATTGAATAAATATGAAACCGTTTCTGAAATGTTGATATACTTATGATGATAAGTCCAAAAATCTATCGATTGGATTGTTACTGCAAGACATTGAAGGTGGCGTAGGAGATGGTTGGATTCAATTGCAACATTTTGTAGCGATGCTCATTTCACTGGTAGCATGTTTTTTGTTGAAAACTTCCAACTTATGTTTTTAGTTTTGGATTTCTTTTGTGGCTTGAAGTAATCTTAATCTTAAAATATCTTAAAAGGGTTTCTAAAATCACCTACGCCATATCAGCCTTCCACCATTCTCCGCATGCTACGGAATTAGCCTTTTAATTTTTTCCTTGTCTCTACTGCGTTATTATCGTTCACTTTGAAAGAAAAAAAATCTTCCTTTTTTCTTTTCGCTTTGTCATAGGTTGTTCCATCCTCATCCACAAAGAATTTTCAAACTCCTTATGATACGGGAGTTAAATAATCAGTTACGAAATGGATAATTATACAACTGACATTACTAATGAACATGGAGCTGACATTGCTGAAATCAAGGACCTCAGTGAGTATTCAGTGGTCAGATCAAGATTGGTTGATATTAGTCTCTCTTTGACATCTCGTAAACTTTATGGCCATTCTGAATATGTGAGAAGGTGTTGAGATGCGTCAAATGATTATCTTATATAGACAAATCTATTGAAATAATTTATTATCTTGTTAATTAGGTAAAATATTTCCCTTTTTATGATTTGTTAATTATTTCTATAACTTACTATGTTTAGTTCTTATTGTTCAGGATTATCAAGTTACTTAAAGAAATCAAAACAATTCAGGAAATGAGGTTTATGCATGAAAGACAATTGAAGTTGCTGAAAATCCACATAATTGCCTATGAGGAGTAAGATAATTAATAGTGATAAAAAATATTGTAGCGATTAGCAGTAAAATTCACATCTTCTACGTTAATATCGTTCACTTTGAATAAATATATTTTTTATTTCGTTTTTATTTCCCATTTTTCATGGGTTGTTCCATCCTCATCCAAAAAGAATTTTCAAACTCCTTATAATATTGGAGTTAAATAAATCAGTTACGAAATATTTGGATAATTCTGATTTTTATTTTCATAATATATTGATATGATAGTGATATGATGTTGATATAATAGTGATATGATGTTGGTATGAGTTCTTATATTTGAGAAAATATTATGATGATACCATATCAGTGTTATATAATGAAATTATCACTACATCATAGGGTAGTTAGCATAAATGGTCACAAACCTTTGCACTTAGTACAAAATAATCACAAACCTTTAATTTGTAACGAAACAGTAACATACATTTGAGCGTTTAGCAAAACGGTCATTCCGTTATTCTCCTTCCAAACATCTGTTATTTTGGTCCAGTCATCCATCTCGTCAACATCTATGCCATAAGAAATATTAATAAAAACTAACAAAATCAAAACAAACTAAAACCCATAACCAACCTAACACCCCAATCCAATCGGAGCTAACCCATTTTTCTCTCTCCGCCCCCTCTCTACGACCATCTCCAAATCCTTTTCCATCTTCTTCCGCTACTATCTTTTAGAGTCCGCTCTTCCAGTCACTACTCCGTCGCATGCTGTCTGTAATGGGTGAGAGGGTGACTATTATTTTTCCTTCTCTCTATTTGGAGAACCGCCAATAAAACCCATTTGGAATCTCCTAATTGGGTTCTAATTAGGGATGACAATGGGTAGGGTCGGGTGTGGGTTTACCCTATACCAACTCCTAACACGCCGGGTAGAGCTTCCTAAAATACCCGGCCAAATAACTACTGGGTATGAAAATGATATAACCATACCCTACCCACCGGGTAACCACGGGTATTCGGGTAACCATGGGTACAAATCCTAAAATATGAACTTATACACATATATGCACATACATACTGTTGTCCATTAAAAATTCTCAATACTTGTAACTGTTCTAGCTTCAACAATTCACACAAATAAAAACAACAAACACATAATAATTGTTCTTGCTTCTACAATCCACACAAACAAAAACCCAATACATCATTTTTGTTCTAGCTTCAACAATCCACACATAAAGAAAAACAACAAAGACAATATTAGAACCAGACCACATCAAATGCTCACTGCTTAACTTATGCTTCATGACATCCATCAAGGAATCATTAGTAGAACAATTATCCAAGGTAATTGTAGATACATTTGTATCAATATCCCAAGCAAGTAAAGTTTCAAGAAGAGCCTGAGCAAGCACCTCACTTGTGTGTGGGCAAGGAAACTCGACTGCTAGGTAGGGTTAGGGCTAGGGAAATTGACCCTTTGGTTAGCGGGGCGGTATAACAGGGCAGGTATTATCAATTACCATACCCGTACCCTACCCTTTATTTTGAAACCGGGTATTACCCGTACCCGCCCCTTAACCCGTCAAAGCGGGTAATTACCCTCGTTGACCAGTTACGGTCGGGTAGGATACCCATGGTTACGGGTTGGATTGACATCCCTAGTTCTAATAGCCGCCACCACTTGTCCTCTCTTCTTGTTCGTCTCCCTCTCTTTTTGCCGCCCTCACTTTTTTCCTTCGTCGATTCCCACGTGATCCAATGGCCTCCATCTCTATCTCTTCCTTTCTTTCCCTCTTCCACACTCTAGGTATGCTTCTCGACCATTCTTGATATATGCTTTGTTTGAAATGGATGCTGGTTTGTACAGGTGGTAATCGGTCGGTTACCGATACCATTTAAGAGGAGAAGTCAATCGAATACCGAAACCTGTTTGTAACCGATTAAGCGGTAACCGAATTGTTGGTTAATGGTTAAAAACCAATTAAACCGAGTTACCCCAAAGGGGAGGGAAAAGCATGTTTTCGGTTCGGTTAACAAAAAAATAACCGATCCGAAATTCTGGGCAGTTGGCAGATTGTCAAATTTTAATTTTTTTGAGTTTTTTTCATTTTGTAATTAACAATTTAGTTCTTAACTCTTATTTACAATATTTTATATTTTATACTTCCATTCATGCATGTTAATATTTTTGAATAATGGAATATGTTGTATGTTAATGGCAATTGTCAAATATTAATTAATTTAACACAAGTTCAAAGGGACAACAATCATGAATCAACATCAATCATCATCAAATATTTAAATTTATCAAACATCATCAAATTCAAAGGGACAACAATCAACATAATCGTCATTCGTCAATTAACTAAAGTGCACATGACAATGTCTAAATTCAACACAATTTCAAACTTAAAAATTAAAATAGAAAACCAATAGCTCATGCTCCTCCATCTCCAGTAGAACTTATACCACCACATTAACGCAGCCTTACTGCTACAAAGTCCTGAGAAGAGTATCATATGGGAATATCATCGCCATCTAGGTTAATGTCTTCGTCATCGAAATCTTCATCTTCAACACCATCACCATCATCATCCTCCTTCTCCTCCTCATCAACCCAAACATGTAAGCTATGTGCTCCACTTGCCATGTCGCTTGCAGTTTCCTCTCAAGTTTGGAAAGTATTAGTGACTGTGCAAAGAAAAAACACAAATGTTGCTATGGGAATGGTTTAATAGTAAAGAGTATAGACGAATTAGAATAATGAATTGAATTCTTATCGCTTGATCTTCTTCCTTATCATCTAGTTCATCTGCAGTCTTTCTACTTTCGTACCTTATCCGATCTTCAGCACAAATCAATGCGTCTACAATGTTTGGTATCAAAGAAGATCTGAAAGGACTAAGAACTCGACCTCCACAACTGAAAGCGGACTCTGAGGCAGCATAGAAGACTGGAATTGTTAATCTATCCCTAATCATCTCTAAACGAATGGGATATCTAACACTGTTCTGAGCCCACCACTTCAGAATGTCAAACTTCTGATTATCAAGCTCCTCATTAACAGCATCACCAACATCTCTCAAATACTGCTCCAACTCACCAGAACCTCGACCCCCCCCCCCTCCTCAAGTTGCTCCTTTCTCTTCTGCCATAACCGAGCTTCAGTGCTTTTCCCATAACAGAAGATCCGACACTAGTCACAATAGGAGGAGGAGTCTGTGTAGTAGGCTCATAATCAGAGGGTGGAGGTGCATACCTCACCTTCTAGACCTCAAACATTACAGTCATCTCTTTCTTTACTTTATCTGCCAAAGCTTCCCCTTTTGACCTCTCATACATCTCTTCCAACATCATAGTTAAATAGTTCAGTTTACGCCTGGGATCTAGCACACAAGTCATGTAAACTAGCCTATTTATCCTAAGGTTGTCCTCCTCGTCATCAGCATCATTCTCAAACCAATACTTTCTCACCTATGCCTCTATTCTTTCTGTCATTCTTTGTATCTGTCCATCTACATCATTCTTTAACGTTGCTATCACTTCATGAATATCAACAATGGCTTTGCAAAAAGTATGTGTAGTGACATATGATGTTCTTGATACTAAGTAAAAATTACAAATCATTAATATTCATAATATAAGTCATAATCATTCACTTTAACTTGAAGATATAAATTTTTAAATTTGATAATTCATATACATACCTGATACACGAAGGGTAAGCTCATAAAAGAACTTCAGGTACTTCATGAGTCGCCTAATGCTGTTCCAATCTTCTTTAGTTGGAAGAACCTTCTTGGATTCCACATAGCCTCAAAAGGAAGCATCAGTAGGACTAGCATGCATGAACTTAAACACCGGCTTGAACCTCTCTGTAGAATCCAACATCAAATAGGTGAAATTCCACCTAGTGGGAAAATCCAAAGACACAAGTCTTCTCCCATCCATCTCTAGATAGTTGATGCTGGACTTGAACTTTGCACTCCGAGCTGACGACTTCACCCATTTCACACAATCCCTTACCCTCTCCACAGCAACTCCAACCTCCTTCAACCCATCAGAAACAACCAGATAGATTATATGTGCCTCACATCTATATTGCAGATACTTCCCATCTAGCAAATCCGATCCCCACTCTTTCAGTTTTGTTCTCATGCACTCAACAAGAATATCATTGGAAGTGGCATTATCCATTGTCATGCAAAACAGATTCTTCACTTTCCATTCTTGTAGACATGCTGCCAAAGTATCAGCAATTTCCTTTCCTGTGTGACTAGTAATGGGAATAAAGCAAATAATCCTCTTCTGCAACTTCCAACCATGTCCAATAAAATGTGCAGTCACGCACATATAATTCTGATTGTTATCACTAGTCCATGTATCTGTAGTGATAGAAATCCTTCCCTTGCACTTTGAGTAAAAAACTCAATCAACATCTCTTTCTTCTCAAGAAAAAGGACATAACAATCAGATTTTATTGTTTTCTTTCTAGGTATCACAAACAAAGTCTAAGTTGTGGCCATAAATCTCCTAAACCCTTCCCGCTCAACAAATCTAAACGGAAGCTCATCCAATATTATCATGATAGCTAATGCATGTCTACCTTTGTTCTGATCAAACTTACACGGAGTAAGAGAACCTACCTCACCAACCTCACTTCTAGGTTGATAGTTAAATACCGACTGACACTAGCTTTCCTCGTTCTCCTCTCGCACATCGGGTGATGGTTTTTCAAACCAGTAGTCTCATTGAAGCTTGAATGAGCTTTGATCCGCGTCCCACACCGTTTGCATTTGTCGTATGGATAGTCATCCACTATCTCACGAGTGTAAGGGATCCACCACTTAGATTTCTTCTTCCTCCCCTTCCCCTAGTCAATTTTCTTTTGCACACTAGGTACCTCACCAGCAACACCAAGAAGGGTGTGGATTTGCTGCAAGTGAAGGTGGATTCCTCAAGAGATGGATTTGCTGCATATGGAGGAGGTGGATTTGTCATAGTGGAAAGTGTACTAGTTGAAGCCTTGCCTTTTTTGAAGAGCTTCGAGGAGGTAGAGAACCAACTTTCTTATTACCTCCTCCACGACTGCCAAAAGGTTTCGTCCTACAAAAGTACAACAAAATGGACACATAAATTTCCTAAACAACACTTCAATCAATACTAAACCATTCAATCAACCTCAATTCAATCAACCCACTATCAATTTCTCATCAATTGAAACTCATACACACATAATGTCATTATAAATTTCTCATCAATTGAAAGTTTGAATCTCATACACACACCACTGTCACCACATACTACACGTAAACACGTAAACACTCCTCCTTCTCATATACATACATTTTTTATTTTTTTTTAATCAGCCTGCTTTGGCAGCTTGCTATTGCTGCTGCTGGCCTTTGGCTGCTTCGGCCTCAGCTGCCTGCTGTGGAGAATTGGAGTTTGGCCTTTGGCTATTGTTGCTGCTTGAGCTCAAGCTCTCAACTGCTACTCTACCTCTGCACTCATGAACAAGACAACAAAGGAAGCACAGAGTCAGGCATTGGAGGAGTAGAGGACCAGTCGACCAGGGGAAGGGAATCATGAATCATCCATTCCTTACCTATGGAGCTTTACGAAACTGCTGGAGCTCCACGGACCACGACAGCGGCATCGCGGAGGGAAGGAGGAAGGTGAGAAGGCGTCGCAGTCACACAGTGACAAACAAGGGAGGCGGAGTCGAGTCGGAGAAGCGGAGGAGGAGAGCCAGAGATTCGCGGGGGGAGATGGGAGGCGAGCGATGGACGCCGAGTCAGCATCGATGAGGGAAGGGACAAGACGAGTCGGAGTCGGTCGTCGTCATCTCTCTTCTGGGTTTTCAATTTTGTAGGCGACTAGACGAATGGACGAGACGCGAGAGGGAGAGGCGAAGCAATTAGTGTTGGGGGAGACTTGGGGGTGAAACGCGACGTATTGCCTTTCCCTGATGGTATCGGTTTAACTGAATATCCGTCTGGAGCCGGTATACTGAAAGTCCCCCATCTCTGTTCGACAACCAACACTATCGGTTATCGGGTTAACCGATAATCGTCGATTGCCGGTTCGGTTACCGGCTAACCGATTGTCAACCTTAGGTTTGTATAGATTGGAATTTGTAGGGTTCTTGAATAAGAAATTTGGGGAAGTCAAACTTTGTAGATGGTGGCGGAGAGGGAGGGGAGAGGTAAAAATGGATTGGATTGGGTTAAGGGGTTTTAATTATTTTTTATTTTGTTAGTTTTTTATTAATATTTTTTATGACATGGATGCAGACGAGATGGATGATTGGACCAAATTAACAGATTTTTGGACTGAGAGTTATGGAATGACCGTTTTTATATAGGTTCAAACGTATGTTACCATTTGGTTACTAATTAAAGGTTTGTGACTATTTATGTTAATTACCCCTACATCATGATATGACACTCATATGGTGTTGTTATGAGGTCTTATCCTTGACAAAACATAACAAAATAGGTCAAACAGTGTGGATCTTAATGTTGATATCATGTTCATATCACTGTTATAATATGCTATTATATTATCACTATACCATAGTGCTATGATGTTGATATTATAGTGATATAATGTTGATATGACAGTGATATGATATTGGTATGAGGACTTATGTTTGACAAACTAATTTGATAAGATCATATCAATGTTATATCATGATATTATCACAATGACCTAAAGATAATATCATGATATGACATTAATATGATTGATACGAGACTGATATGTTGTTGGTATGACAATGATTTGATTTTGGTATGAGGTCTTACTTGAGAAAACATAATTGATATCATTGTGTAGATCTTAATGAATGGGTTCTTTCAATACATTTTATTTTTGGTTTTGAGTTGAAATGAAGCAGATGGTTCATCATATCACTGTTATATCATGATGATATGATAGATTTGACAGTAATAATACTACAACCAACACGTGTTTTGGAGAGTTAATTTTTTCTTTGCTTAAAATATAGCAAAATGGATATTATTATGTAGATCATGATTAATACATTCTTTCTATGCAAAAACTTATAAATTTCAAGTTAAACGAACGTTGTAGGATCCGATTAAGAAAAATAAGAGATTTGGAAAAGTAGGCTTTGACTGGCCAACTGTCTTCTCTCTCTTCTGATTTCGCGTCAGACCATCAGAAAAAAAAAAAAAGACAGGGGGCACAAAATTACAAGTCAGACCCTGTAATTTTTTCCCTGTTATTGCAAATTAATCTAGGCCATTAGATTGGGGAATGGGTGAATGACAAATGATATGGTTTTGTAGGATATAGTTTTGTACCCTATCATTTTCCATATATATATATATATATGGCAAAGGCTAGCGTACACCTAACGTACGTCGTACGCCTCTGTTCACATCTATTAATTAATTATAAATAATTTTTAAATTTAATCATAATTATTTTATTATTAATCGTAATATAATTACAACTAAATCCATTGACGTATTTTCCTATTCACTATACACCCATAACTTTTTATACCACTCGTTATGTATAAATCATCATCCAAATATTCATTATATGAATTAAAGTGCATGCTTTCTTCAAATTAGATTAAAAATACCCAAACTTTTTAACTACACTTGACTTGAGGCATCGTTTTGTGTTCTTTTGAAGTTCGAATTTGGCTGGTTTCCAATGGAGGCGCCGGCGTGCTCTGTTGAGCAGTCATCGTCACGGTTGTCATCTCCAACGCATTCTCGATCGTCTGTGGTGAGGGAGATATGGAACGCCAGTTTCTTTCGTGTTGCCATCTTGCCGAGGAGGGAATTTGTGGATCCCGATCACCTGTGTTCGTTCCTCTAGGGTTTGTCATTCCGCGGCATTCCCGATCGCCTGTGTTCATTCCTCTAGGGTTTGTCATTCCGCGGCATTCCCGATCGTCTGTTTCAGACAAGGTTGTTAGACCCCTATCGAACCCCCCGGTTGGACCCGGTTCAACCCGAGTCGGGGCTTCAAAACGGCCTCCAGAAAACCCCCCGGTCTGACCCCTAAACAGGGAGAAGAAGAGAGGAAAATGAACGAAGGAAGGGAAATGGTAGGTGGATCATGGAGGTTAGGTAGATTTATTTTGTTAAAAATAAGTTTTTAATAGATATATGTAAGATAAATTTTATTTCACTCATTAAATTTTTAATTACTACTTTATTTGTATATATATTTAGAAAACGTCTAAAACGGCTCAAACCGGCCGGACCCCGATCAGACCATTAAACCTCAAACCCCTTGCTTGACCGGCTCAATGACTTAAACCGGTTTGACAACCTTGGTTTCAGACCCGACGTTTTGAGGAGGGATTTTATGGATTTCGATCGTCGAGGGAGATGAAGCTTCTGGGTTCGGTTCTCTAAGTTTTCTCATTTCGTGCAGTCCCGATCCCCTGTTTTCGTCCAGGCGTTTCGAGGAGGGATTTTGCATATCCCAATCGTCTGCAGTGATGGAGATGAAGCGCATGTTTCGGTCGCCTGGGTTTTCTCATCCCAACGCAATCTCTAATCTTGTGATTCCTCTTGGTTTGGTCGTTCCTCTAATCCTTGCTTTCCCTCTTCACGTTTCTTGTATTGTTACCATGGAGATTTTTGCCATGGATTTGCCGCTGCTTATTTTCTTTGGTCATGCGTTCTTTTCCTGACACGAATTTTGCGGATGTTTGAATCGAAGCAAGTTTCTTGTTCGATAGTTTGGAAGGTTTCAATTTTGATTTCTATGTATTGTTGGTTATGAGGAAATAGATGGATGGTTCTGCAATACTTTTCCCCTTCAAGTAATAGAATTCGAATTCTATCCCTCTATTGTCTTAAGTTGTGTTACCTCTTATTGTAATCTATAAGTTCAAGATTCGTTGGGAATTGAGGTTCTGTGTTGTACCGAGAATTTGTTATTGTTAGTTTTATTCAATTCTATGTTTGCTGATTTGTCTGCATTTAGTCGGCCGGAGGAAGAAGATGAAGAGGGTCTTAAAAGAAATTAAGATGGTTTTGTTCAAATTTGCGGATGGACACCTCTAAACTGGATTAAAAATCCCAGAAGCCTAACGTTAAATCTATAGGTTCGTAAGCTACTACATAAGTACTAAACGCTGGGTGCGCTGCGTTGGTATTCCCCTCAGGAAGGCTGGGTAAAACTCAACGTTGCTGGGAGTCTGAAACTAGATCCACATGTTCTGCCATTGGTGGTGTTGTTCGCGATGCTGCAAGTAACTGGGTCTTGGGCTTCTCTTTGCATGTTGGCCATTGCTTGGTTCTTGAGTGAAAATCCTCGTCTGTTAAAGAAGGGGAGAGGGGATGGGGGTAATTGAAGTATCCCTCATTTCTAATGAGGATGACTTCCGAAAGAATGAAATGAATTTGGATTTAAACTTTTTAGATAATAATTGTACTTTTCATAAGAACTTAGAGTGTTATAGATCATGATTAGAGGAAATAATGTATCATAATAGTTTAATTGAAACTTAGATAACATAAATACGGTAAAAATCATGTAGGACTAAATAGTAATAAAAAATAAATTAATAGGTATAGTTGCAATTATAATTATTATTAATTATTTAATTTCTTATAATTAATTAATAGGTGTGAACACAGGCGTACATTGTATGCCAGGCGTACGCTAGCTTGAACCATATATATATATATATATATATATCGTCCAGGCTAGCCTACACTAGCGTACATTATACGCCCGGCGAGTTTTACTATTTAGAGCACTAATTAACTGGAGTTTGGGGCAAGATACTATACCCTAACCTTTAATGGGTGAACCGCAATCCCTAATTCTCTAATCCAAGCCACAAGATTCATTTAATCTAAAAAAATAATAACCGACGGTTCTGATTCAGCAAAATATATTGAAGTGCAAAACATAAGTGTGAACACAGGCATACAACGTACGCCTAACATACGCTAGCCTTTGTCATATACAGTAAATAACCCCCAATATGAGAAAAAATAGACAAATAAAATGAAGTTTTATTTTATGGTTGCCAACGAATTTTTTAGATTTGATATTGGTTCATAAAATTGTAATTTTTGTCATAAATCAACTAGTCCCAATAACTCGAGTGGTTGGGAGAGCCCATGTATGATACTTAACCACTTCCTTACAATTCTAGAGAAGTATGAGATATTTTGCTACATTTACATATAACGCTTAGGCACGCCTAGCCGATGCCTAAGCATGCTAGGTGCAAGACAGAGCCTCAACGCTCGCCTTACGCCTTGCACTTTCTTGAACGTTGACAATTTCTAAGAGACTAATTCAATTCACACAAACACAACAATTCATTAACGCTATACCATTGACTTTTATTTTTGTTAGGTGAATACTTCTATTAACGGTAAGATAATTATATTCGTTTCATTTATTTATATTTATGTTAAAGGTTAACTATACCTATGTGTTGATTGTTATATTTTATTCATTATATAAACTGCATATTGATGGATTAACCGAGAAATTTTTTAACGTAATGATAATGTGATGTTATATTGGTTAATCTGATTAACCAATTAACCAAACCGACTAAACTTTAGTTTGATTAATTTAATTATTATATTAGTTTGGACGGTTTCGTCATGAAATTATATTCCAAAATTAATAGAATTTAGTTCTATTTGGTTTGGTAATCCCTACAACTCAATGAAAGTCTATAAGATTTCTACAAAATTAGGCTCATAGTCATAGAGAAGAAAGACGAGGATGATCGTGTCTTATAAACTTCAAAACTAAGATTTTTGAATTAAACATTTGACAGCATAATCATTTTTTTATTACCTAGGAACATCTCCACGCACACACCACATTTTGTGATGGCAGAGCGAGACCAGACCTGGGGGCTACCTGCTGCAATTTAGTGAGCCAACGGGGCTTTGCCCACAGCAGCCAGACGCCTCCAGTAACACCACACGGGACTTAGAGGGGCATCAAACCCAGAACTTCACACATCCCGAGATGACCTACCCCGCGACAGCACCACTAGGCTATCCTTACCATTAACAGGACCTCACACATCCCGGATAACCTACCCCGAGACGATATCGCTAGGTAGGGCTAGACAATCGGATCTCGATTAGCGGTTAACCGATCAATTACAACCAAAACTGATAAGTTATTCACTAACCGAAACCAGGATAACCGAAAGTCGGTCAGTGTTCGGAGGCTGGGCGAGATGATTTTTGGTCTTGGAAGGCGGTTGGGTTAACCGAACCTCGAGATAACCTAAGTCTTGAGCCCTCTTTCGGTCGGTGATCGGTAAGTTTGGTCGCTAGTTTGGTTAACCGTTAACCGAAAAATTCAATTTTTGGTTAAACCAAAATCGACCAACCTCCAGGCCTACCACTATGCTATCTTACTATTAGCAGGACCTCAAACATCCCAAGACGACCTGCCCGCGACGGTACCGCTAGGCTATCTTAGCAGTAAGAAGCGACGACACAGCTAGGCCAATTACAACCCAGCCAAATGCCAATTGAATAGACTGTAGGCGGTAGCCCAAATTTACAGCCCATATCGAGAGCCCAACGGAATGTCCACCCAAACACGAGAGAGGATCTGTTGACTAGGGGGTCCTTAGTCACTTGACTAAGCCCCTCCTAGCCCTTAGATCTAGACAGACCAATCTAACGGTTAAAAAGTGGGAAGGGATTTTAAATTAGTGACAAGGGTCTTTTGGGTATAATGAAAAATTACGAAGTATACAAACCAGACTTATAAACAGTACAAACAATACGAACATATAAATATTACAGACTATAACGACAAAACATACAAACAGATTTACAAATCTATGAACTGTACAAATAATACGAACTAGAACGACAAACAATACAAACCATACAAAATGAAAAAAAAACAACCAGGTCGACTTTGGAGGTTCCATCTCTATATAGAGGGGATCTGTCCCAAAGTCAACCAGGTTGTTTTTCATACATACAAACATTACAAACGTGGTGGACACAAATGAAAAATTAGACCGACAAACCATAAAAAATGGAAAAACACCCAGGTTGACTTTGGAGGCTCCATTTTTATATTGATGAGTTTCATCCAAAAGTCAACCAAGTTGTTTTTGAGACATAAAAAACATTACAAACATGATTGACATAAATAACAAAGCTTACAAATATTATAAAAGAAACCGACAAACGTTACAAAATAACAAAGCTTACAAACATTACAAAAGAAACTGACAAACAGTACAAAGCATACTAACCGTACAGAATACCACTACTTACAATACAAATTGGTAAACTTTTATTACAAACCAATTAATACAAAGTATACAAATCATAGCATAAAAGTATACAAAATAGACAAACAAACATTACAAATTACAATATATACAAAATAGTCATATAAACATTACAAACATAATAGATAAAAATAACAAACTAGAATGATAAACAATACAAACCGAATTGATATAAACATTACAAACTGGACTTATAAACATTACAAAATAGGTCGATAAACATCACGAATCCAACATTGTCGTCAAAAAATCCATCTCTGCCGTGTCTGGTCGTAGGATTCCTCCGCCGTCATCGGAAAAGCCACCGAAACTCTCTCTCTCTACCAAAAATCTCCAACTCCCCATGACGTAGGGCCAATAGCTCTCGGAAAGGGACCGCCGGGGAGGGAATTAATCCCACGCCACCGGAAAAATTCGCAGGGTGGTTGGCGGCAGGTCCTGGGAAACAGGCGGCCGGTGGGAAGGGACAACCAATTCAGTCCATTTTTTTATTTTAATTGTTAAATAACTAATTTGTGTAATTACTATCTTGTCCTTCATTAAATGGGATTAATCTGGACAATTGAATTTTAATCAGGTACAAGGGTGGAGATTCACTTAGTCATGTGACTAGGGGACTAAGGGGCCCCCTAGTCACCAGATCTCAATCCCCAAACACTTACCCTTTCATCGCCGCAAAATAGCAAACCGTGTCATTTAAAGGGTTAATTGCACCATGTGCCACTTAAGTTTATTATTTGTTGCACGTTAACCATCTAAGTCCGTTTTGTTGCAACTAAACCATTTGTGTTAACTTCCGGTTGCACAGTTACCATTTCCGTCCTTCAAACTAACGGTAGGTGTCAAAATGCAATTTTCCATACCACGCGGGTTGCCACATCAGCGACTGTAGGGTGAGTCACCTGTGGACCACCATCCAATAAATTGACCAACCAGCTCTATTCACAAACCAGCCGAAAATCTTCCGAACTCCAATCTTCTCTTCTCCGCGCCGGAAATCTTCCTCTTTTCTCCAATTTTCTTCTCTTCTCTAGCGCCGAGAATCCTCCTCTTGTGTTCAATGAAGCCTAAAATCTTGTGAACTTTTAACTGTTGTTGTTGTCGTCTTTGATTTCGTTGAAATTGAACAGAAGAAGCAAGAGACTAATTCAAGTCATAATTCAGCTCAAATATAAACATACTAATGATGTACTAATTCAGGTCATCAATCCATTATGAGGGGCCACATTTTGCCTCCACAGAATCATCAAGTTCTAGCTTTTCCATCCAGTAAAGCTTGCGACACTTTGCTGCATCATATTAATGATTCCTACAGTACCTTTACAATGCATTATAATTATATTAACCTTTCAAATGCATTATAATAATGATTTCTCTAGCTCTTCTTTAGGCGTCAGTGGTCTGGTGATTGACTTATCTATGCTTAGAGCATATCAGTTTAGATGTAAAAGCAAATTGATAAGTTCATATATAAAAGGGCCACAAAGCATTTTTCTGGTACATCATAATCAGTTCAGATATAAAAGCTACCCTGCTCCATTAAACGCCTAATCCCTCCTTCAATCTCACTGGCAGCCATGGTGTTCTGACCTGCTAACAATCTAAAAAAATGCAGGTTCTTAACAAAATTGAACTGCTGTTCTGGCCTGCTCAAAATCTCAGAAAATGAGGTCCTTAACAAATTGAACTGGTGTTCTATCCTGCTAAAAACTAAAACAAATGCAGGTCCTTTTCTGTTTCTTAAGCACATGAAGGTGTTCTTTCAAGTGCCTAACAAAATGAACTGGTAGTCAAGAATGCTGCAGAAGGCATGTTTGGCCTCCTCTCTTCTTGTGCAAAGAAGGTTTTGATGTCCCTACCAGTGCGGTTTGTGTTGATGCGGTGCGGTGTGATGCGGTTGCACAACTTGCCCACTCCTACCTGCAACAGAAAGATCATGAAAATTGCACTCGGACAGTTTCCCCTACTTCCCTAATTCTTGGACGCATTTTTAAACTCAAACAATAACAATACATGTGCCTGAAGTACTAAAGCATGCATATTTCACCCATTGATCATCGAACAGTGATAAGAAGAACTGATGATCAGGGAAGAACAATAACATACATGAGAAACTGAGGATCACTCAAAGAAAGGAGAATTCACTCACCTATTTCTCCATCAACCCATGAACAAGCTAGTTTCGTAAGTTGTTTCAAATAACCGAAAATAACAAGCAAAGAATTAATGGAAGAACGATTAATCCTATTGTAGGGGACTGAATTAGAGGAAGAAACAAAGTACTGCAACAGGGGTCTAGATCACTTACCATACGTTTTTTTGCAGCGTTGTCGATCTTTCTTCCTTCTTCGTGCGCCTGGTCAAGTATTCTCCTTGGTGATTTTCCTATTTCGTGAAGGGAATGGTGCTTGATGGTTCGGCTGCCGGTGTTGTTCTGTGTAGAAGTTTTGTTTTGTGGAGAAGGTGTTAACCAGTGCGTATGAATTCTTTGGGTTTTGTGCGCACATAAAGATTGTGGTGGCCCCAGGTGACTCAATCTATAGCTGCTGATGTGGCAGCTTGCGTGGCATGGAAAATTGCATCTCAACACCTACCGTTAGTTTTGGGGACGGAAATGGTAACTATGCAATCAAAAGTTAACATAAATGGTTTAGTTGCAACAAAATGCACCTAGGTGATTAGCGTGCAACAAATAGCAAACTTAAGTGGCACATGGTGTAACTAACCCTCATTTAAACGAGAAAAGATCAAATCAGCAGTCGAGAGAGACGAGAAGCTTTGAGATCGCCGGCGACAATGGCAGCAGCTGAGCCGCCGAGTTCATCACAGAAAGGTGAGCCAAGATTTCCCCCCTCAAACGATCTCAATTCACGATTCAGTTTCTCTTTAAAACTTATCAAAGCTCTTCTCTTTCCTTCCCTCTCATTTGACTCTGTTTCTTTGTGCTACTTATTTTGGGGGTCCCCCCCGATTCGGGTCTCAGTGATCATCCATTTGAAAGCCACCGTTGATGCTCCCATACTCAAGCAAAACAAGTTTAAGGTATGTTCTATATCTTGCGCGAGCTCAACTTTGATGTTGGATCGTAACTTTCATGGTGTTTGTTCAGTCTGCGGTTAATTGGATGAGGAATCATTGTTGGGTTTGAACAACAAATTCTTCATTCTGTCGTTTTAGTGAAGCCTTTAGGCAGATTTTATTAATCAGGAAAGAAAAGTTACAATATCCTTTACATATTCATCTATATATACTAATCACTAATTACCTATACAGTACCTACAATATATACAATTTACAATTATACCTATAAACTAATTAAAACCTACATCTAAGTCCTCGTCGTTTCCTCCTTGGACAACTCCCCCCCCCCCCCCCCCCCGGCAAGCTGGTGCGTATATATCAAGACGACCCAGCTTGGACTGTAACTGTTGAAAAACATGAACTGGAAGAGACTTTGTAAACATGTCAGCAAGTTGGTTAGCAGAGGAAACATGTAAAACTTTAATAACATTATCTAGAATCCTATTCCTAATAACATGACAGTCGATTTCTATATGTTTTGTATGCTCATGATTGACTGGATTATCAGCAAGCTTTATGGCAGACATACTGTCACAAAAAATGGGAGTGGGAGAAGAAAGAGTAATCTGCAAATCACTCAAGACATAACGCAGCCAGATTACTTCACAAGTTAAACTTGCCATGGCTCTGTATTCGGCTTCAGCTGAAGACCGAGAAACAATATTCTGTTTCTTAGAACTCCAACTAATCAAAGAATTTCCTAGTAATACACAAAAACCTGTTGTAGATCTACGCGTGTCTGGGCAACCAGCCCAATCACTGTCACAAAATGCCTGTAATTTAAGTTCAGAATCAGCAGAAAAGAATAAACCTTGCCCTGTAGTACCTTTGATGTAATGCAAAACGCGTTCAGCGGCTTGCATATGCAGATAAGTGGGACTATGAGTAAACTGACTAAGCTGATGAACTGAATAGGCAAGATCAGGACGCGTATTGCAGAGGTAAAGGAGTCTTCCTACTAATCGTTTATAGACAGAAGGGTCAGAAAGGACCTTACCAGCAGTGGCAGATAGTTTAGTACCTGGAACAGAAGGAGAATCACAAGGTTCTGCACTGAGAAAACCATAAGCTGTTAACAAATCCAAAGCAAACTTTCTTTGATATAACAAAATACCCTTATCAGTCCTAGCAATCTCAAGACCAAGAAAAAATTTTAAATCCCCAAGATCCTTAATCGTGAAAGTCTGATCAAGCTGCTGTTTTAGACTAGTGATGGCTTTAAGATCATTTCCAGCCAAAATTATGTCATCAACATAGACAAGTGCAATGGTAAAAGACTTATCATGACTACGAACAAACATAGAGTAATAAGCTTTGGACTATTTGTAACCAGCAGAAGTTAAAAAATTGGACAATTTAATATTCCATTGACGACTTGCTTGTTTCAAACCATAAATTGACTTGTTAAGACGACAAACTGGGTTCTTAAATCCAGGAGGAACTACTAAACCTGGAGGAATCTTCATGTAGACCTCCTCATCAAGGTCACCATGAAGGAAAGCTGTATTAACATCAAGTTGATGCAAGTGCCAGTTATTAATTGCAGCTAATGATAATACAAGACGAACAGTGGTGTGTTTGACTACTGGTGCAAATGTTTCTAAGTAGTCTAGACCAGGTGTTTGAGTATACCCCTTAGCTACCAAAAAATGATTTAAACATTTCTATGTCACCATTAGAAAGAAATTTAATTTTGAAAACCCACATGTTTCCTATGGCAATCTTACCATCAGGTAACTCAACAATAGTCCATGTATTTGTTTTATCTAAGGAAGCCAACTCAGAATTACAAGCTTCTGACCACCTAAGATCCTTAATGGCTTCTTTGTAGGATTTAGGTTCTAGAATAGCAGAACTGGCCAGAATGTATTTCTTGTATTCTGGGCTCAAATTATCAAAAGTCATAACCTTAGATAAAGGAAATGTAACACCATTACATTCTACAGCACATATGTAATCATCTAGCTTTTTGGGACGCACCTTAACACGAGGAGGCCTCGCATAAGGTGGGGGTTCTACTGCCTGAATAATATCAACTAGATCTAGAGGTTCCTCAGGTGGAGGAACAGATGTATCTAAAATCTCAGCAGAATTAGGCAAAGCAGAGGTAAAAGTAGATGGTGAAGGTGATTCAGATGGAGTGTAGGGAACTATTGTATCCTGAACTTGAATGCAAGGAAAACAGAAGTCAAAGTCAAGGGTGGATTGAGAGTTAGCAAAAGGAAAAACATGCTCATGAAATACAGTATCCCTTGAATGAAAGATATTATGTGAGACCAAGTTGTAGAGCCTATGCCCTTTAACAGTGTTAATGAATCCCAAGAAGACACAAGGATCAGCCCTTGGGGCAAATTTTGGTCGACTGTGTTGTAAAGTGGATGCAAAAACTAAACAACCAAAAACCCTGAAATCACTATATGCAGGTTTGGTGTGAAATATGAGTTCATAAGGAGATAGATTCTTTAAAAGTGGAGAAGGCATCCTATTAATTAAGTAAACAGAATGTAGAATTGCAAATCCCCAGAATGAGATTGGTAAAGAAGCTTGAAACATAAGTGCTCTAGCAACAGCCAATATATGTTGGTGTTTCCTCTCAACACGACCATTTTGTTGAGAAGAAGCTACACAGGTCGTTTGGTGTATAATACCAAACGTATTATAGAAAGATGGAATATTAAACTCTTGACCATTATCTGTTCTTATAGTTTTAATTTTAGATGAAAACTAAGCTTAGGAATGATTTTAATGTTTCCAATATGTGTAACTTGAACTTTTACACCATTTGGTAAAGAAACAGATACGTTATTTATGGTTTTATATGTGTGAAAAAGATGCAAAACCGAAACAACATGATCTGTGGCACCACTATCTACTATCCAATCCATGTAAGTTAAGACTGAATTGATAGAGAATAGATGCATACCAGTATCTTCTGTAGAAACAATGTTGAGCCCAACATGTTGTGGAACATAACCAGAATCAGCAGGCTGAGGGACTGTGCCAGAATCAGCAATCGGAGGAACAAGAACAGAATCAGCTGAAGTAGGAAGAGGGACTTCTGGTGTGGAAGCAAGCTGTCTAGCCGAGATGACCAGATTAGCAACCGGAATAGCAGCCATACGCTGCACTTGCTGAGACTGAGTCTGATTCAGAAGGGACTGATACTGAGCTCTAGTAAGTACCACAGAGTCATCAGTAACTACTCCAGTAGGCGGATTAGGAGACTCAGAGTCTGCTACAGTAGCATTGACTCGGCGATGCTTATATCCAGGCGGATATCCATGGAGCTTATAACATCGATCCACTGTGTGCCCATACCCTTCACAATGAGTGCAGTAAGGGCGCTTCTTACCCCCACCAGGGCCTTGAACAGAAGACCCCTGACCCTTGCCCTGACCAGAATGTTGACCCTTCGAGGTTCCATGAGCAGCAAGAGCAGTAGGAAGGGATGAAGGCAAACCAGACTGTCGTTCATGCTGAGCTAGGCTAGAAAACACCTTATTAATAGACGGCAGAGGATCATTCAATAGTAGTTGAGACTTGATATGACCAAAACTCTCGTTCAGCCCTTTCGAAAACCTAATAACCTGATCCCTACGTACATACTCCCGTGGAATCGACGAAGCAGAGCAGGCACACTTAGGATTACAAGTGCACACCGGGAGAGGCCTAAGAATCAAGAATTCTTCCCATAATACCCGAAACTTAGTAAAATAGGCACTGACAGACAACGAACCTTGCTTAAGAGCAGCGATTTCATCATAGATATCCGAGATTCGGATCTCATTACCTTCACTGAAACGTTCTCGAAGGTCCTCCCAGGCTTCCATAGCTGTGTTGAACCACAGAATACTCTGTGCAATCTCGGGTGAAACTGAACGCTGAATCCACCCAAGCACAAGAACATTGGCCTGATCCCAAGCACTCCAGAGAGGATCATCTGGAGACGGGACCGGTGAACCAGAATCAATCAATGGAAGCTTGTTTCGTGCATGCAATCCCATTCGCATCGACCGCGCCCAACTGTTGTAGTTGGAACCAGAAAGCGGCACCGTCACAAGCTGCTGAGCAGAGAGATCGCCATTGGCCACAAAGAAAAGATGCGCCGGCGAGAGCGAAGCTCCGATAGACGCCGAGCCACCAGCCATAGCACTCACCGGAGGATAACTTCCCTCTGGTGTGTGGTACATGTTTCACTTGCAGCTGTTTGCATGTTGCGAAACATGATCCACATGTAAAAAGTTAAAAGTCCCCAGATGATAGAAATGGCGGTATGAAATTATATAACCGGCAGAGAGGAATTGCCTTGCCCCCTCCCTCTGTTACTCCAGATATGGCCCAAACGAGATTGCAAACTGGGCTTTTATCGCAATAAGTCAAGGAGGAGAGGCACTACCCAGCCCAGCCCAGCCCAAGCACTACAGAAAGAACGATCAGCCCATGGACTCGGCCTAGCCCGTATATCTTAGAAACCCGCCAGAAAAGGTAAAAACAAGCCCGCCGTTTAGTTTCTCTCCACCTGCAAGTCGTTGATTTGCCGTTTCCGGGCAAAATTCCCCACGAAATCCTCCGTTCCTCTCTCTCTAATCGGCTGTTCTCTCCTCCCTCTTTCAACTACGTGCAAGGAAGAGGAAAAACAGACCCAGCTCAAAGATTCTCTTTTTACTAGAGGGAAAGAACCAGAGAATCCAATCAAACAAACAACCTTCCCCAATTCTCAAACCCCACAACGGAAAATCTGATTTGCAATCTCCGGATTTAGCCATCTATTTCCGCCATTGATAAGGTGTTGCAACCACTAATTTTCCCCTTGGTTCCTTTGGGTCATTTGCTTGATTCTTCTTTTCAATTTTAATTCCCTCGAACAATCTTTTCCTTCTCTTTCTCCTCCCTTCGCCTTCCCCCCCTTCGAATTTTCCTAGAAAGAGGAGGGAAGGGAATTTATTTTCCAGTTTTTTTCTCCGCCACGATATCTCTGCCTCTCCTCTACTCGACCCTTGAATGAAAATTCGAGCAAGTTTGACTTCCGAGTCCCAAATCGTTGGTTTGGGACTAATCTTGCGATACCCCATTTGACCATTTGAGCCCAATTTCGTTTCTGATTAGGAGTTTTTCTTCCGAATCAAATCGCTACGCTCTGTCTCTGTCGGTCGCCGGAACCCTAGAATCGGTGATTTGGGGCCGGCTTGATTTGTTTCGAATCGGGTGCTTCAAGATTAGAGGGAAATCAGTTCTGAGAAGCTGGAGATTCGTGGTGGGTTTCTGAAAGTCTCGATCTTTTGAATGTTTGGGGATCAGAATCCAGATGCGAAGATAAAATCACTTGGAAGCTAGTTTTCGCTTTTGGGGGAAACATTCATGGAGACTCGATCTCCAAGCTTGGCCTTCGTGATCCTTGGGGTTGCTTTTACCGCCTTCTTTGCGGTCTTTGTTGAGTCGTACCACGTTGTATCTAACGATAGCTCTGAATCACCGCCGCCACCGTCTGATAGCAAGAAATCGTCGTCATCTCCACCGCCGCCGCCACCTAAGTTGAAAGCCGAGAAACAAGCTTATGAACAGCCACCGCCCCCGCCCCTGGACAGCAATGGCAAATCCACCTCCACCTCCTCGTCCTCTGGCAGCGATGAAAAACAGCACAAGAAACACCACCACCATCATCTGCCGCCGCCGCTGCAGAAAAAGCACAAGCGCAAGAAGATGAACCCCGGGAAGATGATCGGATTGGTTTTCGCTGGAGTTGCAGCTATCTTGCAAGTAGGTGTTATTGGGTTCTTGGTTTTCAAGAGAAAGCAGCTAATCAAAGATAGATATGAACCTTACTCTGTCTCATAAGGTTTTCTTTTCATTTTCCTTACCTTTAAATGATTATTTATATTTCTTCTTCTTTCAAGTTCAAGTTCTTATATCATCATTTGATTCTTTGGAGAGGGCGGGGGCAATACTACTTGTTGGAAAATTCTTTTGTTTGAGATTCTTTGGTGGTGATGGTGGTGGTGGTTGTGGATTGATGATCAATGTTAGCAGAGTTTGTGAGGAGGAAGGGAAGGTTTGTCTATATGGGTCCAATGAGGTTTGTCTATGTAAAAAAAAAAAAGAGCAAAATTGGGGTAATAGGTGACTGGCATTTTCCCTTCATTTGATTGTTACTTTAACTGAATTTTCTTCCCTTGATCTTGTTTGATCGTTACACAAGCCTATAATGCAAAGTGGAGTTAACTCTCTGTCTTCCTTGTATTATATCGGTTAATCTTGATTCTATTATGTCTTAGGAAATGAATGAAGGGAATGTGAAGGATTGGTCATTGATAGTGCCTCCTTTGTTAAGCTTTACATTTCTGCTACTGCTAGTATCATTAATTGGTTGCAGATGTTCATGTTTCTGTTTTGATATTTCGGAGGTAGTGCAATGTTGAATTCAAGCTCGCAGAACAGTCTCTTTTTCATCACATGGAGAGTGTTGGCTGTTTCTCTTGTTCGATGTTGCTTGCTAGTTCTGGATAGTGTAGATAGCTTATTAGCCAGCTTTGGCTGGAAATGGTTATATTTATCCGTTATCACGAGTTGCAGTCTTCCTAGGCAAACAAGTTTGTCGATAGGTTCGTAATGGTGCTTGCAATTTTCAGTTTCAGTGTGGGGAATCTCCAAACCTCTTTGGATGTCTTCTAAAGTGCTCATCTATATTGGAACCTTTGTTCATAAGTAGGTACCGCTCATCTGTATTCTGATACGGTGCGAGCTTGCTTTTTGAATCTGAAGCAGCATAACCTTTTATCTATCATGTCTGTGAGTCTGTTGCTGATGCATTTGCAGTAGTTAAATTGTAGGTAGTTTTATAGTCTGTTCCTCTTGGTCATCATCTCTGTCAATTCGTGCTATATAGGCTAATCCTACGTCATGCGCCATGAAAAGGGGTACGCATTTTTAGCTCTAGACTCTTGCTTGTAATTTAACCGTGGGCAAATATCTTGAAGTAAAACAAGTTGAGCAAGCTGGTTGCATTGCATCAAAACTTCGGTGGGGTAGGCTATGATTGTTCATAAGGTTGGAGGCTGCATCTTGCTCAGTTCAGAAGGCCACTTGGCATAGAAGTAGAAAATGCATGCTAGTTTTTCCTTTCTAAAGTCATGTAAAAGTTTGCCTGGACAAACCAGGTCATTAGCTCGGGTCAATTTAGGTTGTGGGTATTGCAGTTTATTTTGAGTTACAGGTCATTGTGCCTTAGGTCAATTTGGAGTAATAGTGTTTGATCTAACCCCTGATAGTGTGGGCTAGACAAGTTAATAGGGGTTCATTCCGGTTAGGTTGGTTCGATTTGGGGGGTTCAGCTAGATGTGGCTGCAGGTCAATAAAACTCATGTCACTTGGGGTTACTGGTTGAATTCATAAGGTTTGATCTACTGGTAGAGTCAGTGTGGGTTTATCCGAACTGGACCAGCCAGGGAAGGGGATCATAAATAAGCCACACCTCTTATGTAAGAAGTCCTGGTGGTTGACATGACAAACTTGTGCAGAAAAAGTCCAGCTAAACGGAGTGGATAGGTCCAGAAATTGTGATTTGTGCCAATTTGGGGAATGCGTTATTTGTTGACTAGCAACAGTAAGAAGCAAACATAATTTGGTGTCATCATTTGTCGTGTTCTTTGTAAATCTATGGGATTGGATGAGCTGAGGTGGATTTTTGGATTCTTTGTGGTTCCTTGCTGTGTTTGACATGGGTGTTTGTGGAATCTCAATATGAGCTTGATCGCCATATAATTCCTTTAACAAGGATGTAATATTAATAATAGTTATCTGGTGAATCAGTCAGTTTCCCACTGAGCTGCATGAATGAACGAATGAATGAAGTACTTAGCCATGAACGCGTGTTGTAAAACTGCTGTCCACGAAAATATGACATGTTGGCCCCTCTACCTGCTAGGCTGGGCATGAGCCATTAGCCAGTAATAGTGCAATTATAGTGGCAGTTGAAAGCAGCTGTCATGGAAATGACTTGTCGTTTTGAATGTATGAATGAATGAATGACAGCACCAAAAAGACATTGCTTTGCACCTTTTTCAGCATTTGCATGCTCATCAAATCAAACTGAAAAGAACTGATATCATTCAAAAGGGAAATCCCAAATAAAGTTAGAAGATGAAGAATCTGTATCAATGGTTGCTGGAAGTTCAATAAGAATCAATCTTTGCTGATATGAAGATTGGTTTGTTCCCCATATGTCCCGCCAATTCCCACCCCGCCACACTCGTTTGTCTTACTCTTTGGGCGTCAGGAAGGAAGTATGAAGGCTGTCTGAAAATCCCAGGCAAGACCATATGGGGAAGGTATATATCTGGTCATGCAGTTGCAGTAGAGTAGTGGACTGCTTGCCCTGGCCTACTTATCTTCTTCACGTAATGGAAGCTCACCTACTCTTTCAGTTCAAGATGTGGGGGGATGATATGAATTCAATTTTGATATGGTACCAGTACTGTTCTTGACGAAGAGTTTTTCCTACACGGTTCAGTTCGGCGTGATTAAAAGAGTTTCAATTACGAACCTTATGCAATGTCCCTTCACACGTTGCTCAAATGAAGTCGCTTGTTACAAACTTGAGTTATGCACAAATCCGTTCTAGAGACTCATGGAAATTTAAACGTGAAACATTTTAGCCAGAAGGTTTGATACTATATCGAGAACGAATCATCTCAACAAGATAAACCTTACGATATTAATATTAATCTTAATAGCTTCAATTCATAACTACATCAGCCAAAACCTAGCAAACCCCAATCTTGTGTTTCTTTTCCTTATGGGCAGCAAGATTTTTCTTTTTTGCATACAAGTTGACATAATGATGATGTACATTTATGAAGAAAGGATCTTTCATTTCTCCCAGCTGATAACAAACAGACAGAACAGTACCCTCCTCCTTTCACAAAGTAAAAATGAAAGCAGAAACAAGAAAGAAGAAGCTGCTTTCTTTCTTTGCTGACCCTACATTATTAAATCCAAAACAACACTGCAGCTCAACAGAAGAAGAAACCCCAAATTTTGCACCCCAGCCACAAGTTCTCAAAACCCACACATTATCATATTACTATCACCCACCCAACAAGTACTCTTTTGGCACCACCAATAAAGCTAAAAAGATCCATCAATGCTCCCTGCAGACCATCAACAAGAAACCAACAAACATTTTAAACTGTGTGATCCTTTTTATCAATAATGAATGATTGGTCTGATTAGTTAATACTGAAACTGTAGTTAGAAACTTATATACCATTAGGAGAGCCTTGAGCTTGATGCAAGATCTAGCCAAGAGTCTGCCGCACCACCACCAAGCCCAAAGAAATGGTGCATTGGCTTGTGGGATGATGAGGACATCTCTTTGCTGTCACTGCTACCCTCTTCCACCTTGATCAATGGCCTGTTAGTAATTGCTGAAATTGATGATGATGATGACTTGAAATCAGCTCCCAAGACAAAACAATGCTGTTCCTGCTGGTGATGATAATCTTGTTTTGATGATGGATATGAGTAAAAGTTGTCAAACTCTGGTTGTGGTGATGACCCATATTGATGGTGATTAAGTTGCTGATCCTCTCTCACTCCTTGGAGGTACCTTTTTGTAATTTTGTTTTGAGTGGGACACAGCAAGTAAAATAAGGTTAATTAATCACAATCACAACATAATCAAGACAAAAATCCCTTAAACAGGATGACTTCAATGCTTGTAACAGACCCAATAAACCGTTTTAAGTACTATTAGTCATGTTTTAAGTAGATACCTGTAGTCTTTGTCAGAGGCAGGATGGTGATGATGAGAGGAAGAGAGAGAATCCATGAACAGATTAGGAGCAGTGGTGGTCTTACAACAAGAGGAGGAATTAGAGCAAGATGAGCTATTAGTACTACTGTTGTTATAAAGGAAAGTACTATTGAGAAAGTTTTGGCCATTCAGAGGGGCTTGCTGCTGGTGGACATCAGAATCTAGTGATGATGATGTAGATGAGGAAATAGATAAAGGGTTGATCAGTGAAGGATTGTTGTAGGTAGTAATGTAAGGATTGTGGTAATAGTTGTTATTGCTTGTAGTGGTGTTACTAATAGGTGAAGTTCTGGGAGTATTTGTGGTAGTGGAAGGAGAAGATGAAGAAGAAGAGATTTCCACAGGCTTTCTTGAACGGTTTTTCCCTCTATGCATGTGTCTGTCACAGTATTTGGAGCCAGGGTATGCTTCTTTGGCGCACCTCCATTTCTTGCCATCAGTTCTTCTGCACCTTCCTGGCTCTGGGTCTCCCTTTTTACCAAAACCCACCTGAAAACATCCCCACCCAACTGCCACAGTAACCCACACACCAAAAAAGGCCCCAACTTCATCAGTAAAAGTTTAATCAATTCTGGAGAAGCTACATAAGAAGAAGCATTTCTATTATCATCAAATATATTGGTCCCCGAAGCCATCGCAAATACACATCAAAACCATTGCAGAAGCTTTTGCGACGGATTTATCATCTTTTGCGACGGATTTCTTATAGAGATATCTACTTCTCAATTCTCATTGCTGCCCTATTCGAATCGGATTGAACCCATGATTAAAAACCAAAACCCACTTGAAAACATCCCACCCCACTGCCAAAAAAACATCCAAAAGATCTCAACTTTCACCAAAAAAAAATCTGTACTTTCAGCAGGTTTTTTCTTCCTTTTTTTGTAGCTATATGCAAGCTAGAAGATATGCATATGGAAATCAATAAATTGGGGTTGATAGTTTACTTGAAGCAAGGGAGGAATCAATGCTTCTCTTGACGGAGAAAAGGAGCTCAGGAGGAATGGGGACACCAGAGACCATGTACTTGTAGATGAGAGCTTGGTGCTCCAGTTCTTGCCACTGTGTTGCTGTGAATGGAGAAGAACAAGAAGATGCCCTATTTCCTGCTCTTGCATTACTCAACATGTTTTACTTCTTCTTGGGACCAAAATAGGGAAAGTGAAAAGGAAAGAAGCAAAACTACTTAAGAAGAAGAAGGAAGAAAGCTGATGATCAACAGCTTTGTCTGTGACTATTGATGAGTGGGACACAGAAGGGGAATGAAGGAACACAGGAAGAGAAAGGGAAGAGAAAATGAAGCCAAATCTTATATAAGGGTTATTGGTTGCTATAGCTAATGGGGAATGGCTATATAATTTGTCCTCTTTTATATTTGGTCTGAGTGAGTGCTCAGTGCTAGATAGCTTAGCTTGCTGCTGCTGCTCTCTTCTCTCAGGCCTCAAGACGCCTGCTATATATTTCTGCTGCCTGGCTATAGCTATACCTTTGTTATTGCCGCTGCTATTTTCTCTCACTATCTAATTCCCTGACAATATTTTTAATAAAATAAAAAATCAATATTTGGATATTGAGAATTTAATGTGCTATGTTGTAATTACGATGTTTAACCAATATGCTCTTGTTGATTATGGGTTTGTTTGTTTGAGTTATTTGATACCAAATGATTTAATTGAGTTAACTTTATATCAGATGAGGAGGGTAATCCATCTTATTGTCTGCATCATTTTCTCGTGACTCTAGCTCCTAGTGTCATCGGAGCTATCGCCTTCAAGAATGAGTCTTAATTTATCCGATGTGAGACTTCTGGAGTCGTTACCTATTATAAAAATATTTAACTTAAAAATATTATTTAAACTTAGAAAGTACTCGTAATCATATGTTTTGTTGGTTGAAAATGAATTTATTACGTGGTTGGTTTTATGAGGATAGGAAACAAGATAATGAAATATTAAATGTAAAGGAAAAATGATAATATTATACAAATGACTTAACTAAAAATTGTTAAACAAACAATATATTCGCAAATGTCTACATTCTCAAATATCTATATTTCTCAAATGTTTACACTTGAGCAAATGACTAGTTCTATAAATAATTCATGCAAACGATCCCTATAAATTATATGGGATCGTGCCTAGTCAATGTTTTTACTTGCATTTTTTTCGTTCAATTTTACTTATATTTTAGATAGGCTAAACAGAAGATGTATTGAGAAAATTCCTTTATCAGTACTCTCTCCATTATACCTAATTCATTCTCAATAAGATGGACAAATGCATGTATTTGTAGATATGTGTCTCAATATTAAGGGACAGTTTTTTGAGCAAAAAATCACAAATTATACATATATTTATTTGGGGGAAAATTGTAGTACAAATGTGAAAGGTGGTACATTTATCCCTAAACACTTTACAATTGAATCAGCTCCATAAGTCGGTAAGTATTGTTTTTGTGCATGAAAAATCAAAATAGGATTCAATGAAAAAAAACAGAAATTAAAGAATTAAAAAAAGAGAAGGTAGGGCAAAGGTGTAAGAGGATTGAAGAGAGGGATGGTTTTTGTTTTGTCTTTAATGTTGAGCTGCTTGGCTTTTGGTGAATCTTCTCTCTTCTTTCCTTCCTTCACCACATCATGAACTTGGGAATGAGTGCCGCTGTCGTTATATGGTACTGTGAAGAAGCTAAGCTAAGCTAGCTGCTGCCCAAAGCTGCTGCCCAAATATCTACTTTGGAAGGGAGGTGAGGTGAGGTGGGTTGTACCAATCTTTGTCACTATTATGTGAGACATTTCAACTCCTTCACTGTCGTTTGGATGGGTTAATTGTCATTGTGGTATTTGTAAAGTCAAATAACTCATTTATTGTTCATGTGGTATTTCAGTGGTAATTGAAATAAATTATCTCGTTTGGCTGAACCATGCAAATGTGGTATTTGACATGTGGTATTTGGTAAAAGCAGAGTGATAAAACGAGTTATTTCGAAATAACACATGGGTATAAGTTATTTCAAATAAACTCACTGTCCAAATAACTCATTTCAGTAAAACGCTGTCAAACGAGTTATTTACGTCCAAATAACTCATTGTGAGTTATTTGAACCCAAATAACTCGTACAAATACTCCATCCAAACGACCCTTGAGTAGTTCCTTGCCCCTCTTTGGCTCTTTCTATGATCGTTCCATGCGTATATTTGTTGATTCATCAAAATCTATTTGTGATCTTATTTCAACTACAAAATGCGATTTGTGGGGGCATGATTTCATCGTGTTATTCTGATGAAGTGGTCGTTCATCGTCCTTTTAGGAGGTTAAGTTTGTTCGGTAATATTAAAAGTTCGAAATTTTACAGGTTAAGCACCATAATTGATTGGACTAAGCTCAAGGATGTTGGTAAATCGCTAGTTGCAATGCTTGGGCTTGGAACCTTGGGTTGGTATAGTCGAGTTGGTAGTTGGGAAATTTCAGTCGACGCTCAAAATATGTCAAAAACTCTCCGAGATCGTTTTGAAAATGTTTTGCATCCCATAGCATGGGATGAAAGGATCGATGCCCTATTTTGCGAGATTTGAGGCATATGTCCAGCCTAATAATACACTCGAGGCCTAAGCCTAGAGGTTAGCGTGCAAGTTCACTTCATACTCGATTTATAACTTTGCCTATAAAATTATACTTATCATATTCATTGAAAACTCTATCAACAGCTCGAATTATTCGAAATAATCAGAAATCCACACACAACTCGTAGATCAATTAACAAACCCTAATAAGTAGTACCAACCGTCCTTTTGGGCAAACAATTGTCAAAACACTGACAAGTGCATGCCATTGGAGGCTGCAAAAAAGGAAGAAAAAGTGATGGAATGTCATTGCTTTCTGTTACTCATGTCCCAAAGAGATGAAACTTTCTCATCTCTAGAACTCGATTCATGGGTTGTCGTGTTGATGATACGAGAGCAGAAGAAGAGCATTACTCTGTTGTCTGGTTATGGCCTTGGCAAAAACTGAAGAATGGGGCGAGGTAAGTTTGGGCAAGAAAGAACAAGGGTTGCACTGAGGCCGGTACAATCTTTTTGATGGAGTTTTGGCTGATGAAAAAGATGGCCTATAATGGAGCAAGTGAAAGACCATTGGTTCAATGGATGGTCTCACTTGTTTGCTATCTATTTAAAGCAGAGACGTGCCTTCCTTTTCTCTTTCTTTTTGGCCCTCTGGCAAAAAAAGTTTGTTGGCAGGCAGGGGTGAAGTGTCAGTGAGGGGCAAGTGCCACCACCATGAGGAAGAGTTTTATTCTACACCATTGATGAGGTAAGTGGTTCCCTTCCAGCTTTCAATTTCTTTTGTCTCTTTGCTTTCAGGAGGGCATGGTTGATTCCCAGTAAAATTTGGATCGTGTAAAATCATGAAGATTGGAGGGTTTTGGGTTCATCGTGAGATCCACGAATTTGTTGATCCTGAATGTATGAAGCAAACAATGGATTTTGGACAAAGTCAATGATGATCCAAATTCTCATCAAATCCATCAAGCAAACAAGTTCTCAATTTAACCCACACTCATTTTTATGCTGCAAAATTAACCGATAAACAGTTTATTGTTAGTCCGTTACTAGGTAAAATTTTCCTAATTATATTTTATAACTGTTATGTAAGATAAACATACTTTACGTTATCATTACATAATGTTTATTGTGTTTTACGTAATGTGATCTGTGAATCATGGTAAAGTAGGTAACAAAAATTAAGTTACCTGACTTCAACGCATGTGAAGAATTTTCCATATGATTCCATTTCCCTTAATTGTTCACTTAATAACGCTAGTATTATCGGCCTTGAAGTTTGCACCTATTCATTAATCAATATAGATTTTGCATAGGAGTGGTATGGTTCTCAAGCTTAACCTTGAGGAAGCACACTAATACAATCATGTCCATGGAGACAGCCTCCTTAATGTTTAGAACACATGTATTTTCCAAATGGATGGATTTGGTGGTTGATAGAAGCATGTGGTTATATTTGAGGTTGAGGTTGAGGTTGTAGAGGCCTTCGTTAAGGAAATTTTTATGTGTATATTTTGTTCATCCTTGTTTGTATATTCTTTTTAAAATATGCTTAAAAGTTAAATTTGCATAGCAAATGTATGATAAATTGTGCTTTTTGTGGATGTTGGTTAGATTGCAAACAAGTTAACCATGCTTTGTGTTGGTTATATTACTTTATTATGAGAGAAATCAAATTATCAAGTTTGTTGGTAGATGCCAGAACCCTAATCCTCGGAGATCAGTGAGAATATCAAGTATCAATATTTATGAATACTCAACTTTTTTTCATGCGAGCACACAATTGAAAATCACCAACGCAAATAGCACCAGTGTCAACAGATTTTGTACCCGTTGTACAACTATCACAAAATACTATTGGTGGCGGTTAAAATCGACACATGAAAGTCCGGGCATGACCAATTTCTCCCAAGCACCATGTTGTAATTGACCCATTCGATAAAGTACGAATATCGTATGAGTTTTGATTCTTGATTGATTAGGGTATAGCTTGACAAGCTAGACACATCTTTTCTTTCTAGCTCTTCTATCTAAGTTGGGCGGCATTTAGGGCTGCAAACGAGTCGAGTCGAGTTTTTGCTTAGCTTGAGCTCGGCTCGTTTATTAATTTTTTAGCTCGAGCTCGGCTCGAACCCGAATTTTGATCATCCAGCTCGAGCTCGAGCTTGACTCGATTAAAAATAATCCAGCTCGAGCTCGGTAAATGCTCATTAACACAGCTTGTCAAGCTGAGTACAAGCTCGGCTCAAGATAAGCTCGATTTGGAACCATTCTTGCTGAAAAAATGTGTACAAATAAGAATATTAGAAATTAAAAATGATAAAAAAAACACTAGAAACTAAAAATAACATCAAACTTCCATACGCATACTTATTAACAAGATAATTTTCATATTCAGAAGAGTAATTAATCCTTCCACAAGCTTTAAACAATCCAGCTCGCGAGCTTAGCTCAACAAGCCACCGAGTCAAGCTAGCTCACGAGCTTATCAAGCCGAGCATGATCTAGCTCAAGATTGGCTCGTTTACTAACGAGCCGGCTCACAAACCGGCTTGTTAAACAACGAGTCGATTGTCAAACGAATTTTTTCCGATTCGAACGCCGAGTTACTCGCGAGCGACTTGGCTCATTTGCAGCCCTAGCGGCAACTATACAGTGCTGCAACATGCTGTTACAGAAGGATATATATAGATTATTGAAAATGTACCAATGAATTTGTGTTTGACTTTAGCCATTTTCTGCCCTATCCTATAGAAGAGGGGGAACTGGTCTATCTAGCTAGCTCTTTTTCAACAGATGAATATCTAGCATTTTAAGTTTAGTTGATAAAAATCAATCGATATCCCGTGCAAAAATCAATTGATTTCTCATGCAAATCCAATTTTAGATAAAAGCCCTTGTACATCAACTATTTCATTATTGAGGAATGCTCAATCAGTGTTGGATGGTTTATTTTTAACATGGGCAAGTATACAATGTAGTATGCTTACAACGAAGTAGTAAGTGAAATAAACAAATATGGTGGTTGATAGCTAATCAAGCCACCAAAAAAGAGCCTTTTTAGCCACTAAATAGGCAGCTCTGTCAAAATTCTTATGAATGCAATGACAAAAACACATAATAAACCCATAAAAGAATATAAACTGCCACCGCACGCAGAGCTCAGCCTTCTTACGAGCCACTGCTTGGAAACATCCGCTAGGTCGCCAAAATCACAACAACTTCTCCTGCAAAACAAAAACAAGGAAAGACGGTCGAAGCAATCAGTGTTAGATGGTGTAATATTGCTCTTATTTTTTATTTGAAAGTGATAAAATATTGTTCATTGATTAAAAGATAGTTAAAATGATAAGTACTCTAGATGGAATTAGATACTAAAAATATCGACTATAAGAAATGTCAATCAAATCGTATATCTTGACTCTTTTTTATCGTTATTATTATTATTGAAAAGGAAGATATGAGGGATCTCTATCCTCAAACAAGTGTCCAAAACATAATATGCTAAGATTTCTTCACTACAAAGAAAACGATAGAGATGGATTTTTTGTGCTTCAATTGAATTTTTTGTTGTTGTTGGATGAAGCCCTAAACATTGTGACTGAGCATTCTGAATACTTCTGACCAAACACACATGCTGTGCATTATTCTGACCAGTTTCCTCTTCATTTTTATTTTAATTTTAATCGATATATATATCCTCTATATATTTTTTTTTCTTATATAACATTTTATTGTACTACCTTTCCCCTTTGTGCTTTGTGTGCCTAGCCTGCCTCAATTAACAAGGGCCAGCCTTTCATTGAATAGCCCAGCAAATAAAAATAAAAATAAAAAACAAGAAGAAAAAACCATATTTCCTTGAACACATCTCTTTCCATATTAGTCACACAGACTCTTTTCACTGTGAAGGGACATTTTTGGTTTTGGCAGAGAGAGTCAAAATTCCCAGAGCAGAAAATATATAGGCCTGCCCGCCTGGGCCAGTGGGCCTTGTTCTGCCTTCTGCTGCTGACTCTTGCTGGGAATAATTTCAGGGCCTTTTGCTGCTGAGCCCAGTCAGTTATCATCATTTCTTGACAATAAAAAGGGGGAAGAGGGATTAATAAAAGAAGAAAAAATCAGGAGAAAAATAGGCTAATATAAAAAGCTGTTCAGGGGAATTCCTTCTTTCTTCTTCTTCTTCTTATATTTGATTTTCCAAGTTTCTTTATCGGGACTCAAAATCTAAAAGCTATAGCAGCGTACAAATAGGAGTCGGTGTTTTCTTTTTACAAATATCAAATCAGAGAACGACTCAGGAAATGGAAGTATTTTGTTTACTAGCTCTGTGCCCGGGCCTTTGGCCGGGTCAATTTGCTCAAATATAATGCATTGCGTGGGGTCATGTAAGCTTTCTATTGCAACTCTTTGAGTCAGATACTCAGGTCAACCTACATATGAGGACTAAATTTTTCACGGCTTAGAACTTGGTGCTTCCATTGTTAGCTTGTGCTGTAGTTTGAGTTGTACTATTGCATTGTTGTCTGGAATGCAAGTTATAGTTTCTTTTTCACAGTCGTTAGCAATGGTGATCTAGCAATAGCCTCACTCGATGTAGATCTGGTTGCGGAGCTGTTCATGTTGATTGTATCTTCAATCTCTATTTCATTGTCCTGTGAAAATATGGCATTTGTCATTAAAGTTCTGAAACATACGTGGATGCATTGTATGGTTGGTACCCATGTTAGCTTATAAACAAAGAAATCATCTCCTCATGAGTTCGAAATCTAATTGGCAATTGCATAATTTGCATTTAAGTGGATACATTTTACAATGTTATATAGTATTGGTGCTATAGGTTTTTGCTTCTATGATACAACTTAAAATTGTACATTCACGTTATGGTACAACTTCAGATTGTACTTATACTTTTTGTACAAATTCTTTTATAGTACAACTTGAACTTGTACCTTTATGTGATGGTACAACTTTAAGTTGTAAAGTTGTACCATAACATAATGGTAAAAATTGCTTTATGGTACAACCTAAACTTATACATTTAATATTATGGTACAACTTTAAGTTGTACATTAAAGCACCAACGTTATGTAGCATAGTAGAAGTGCTCATTTAAGTGAACAAAGACTATAACCTATAGAAAACAAATAGTAAACACAATGTGGGTAACGTGGTTGAAGGAATTCAACAAATAAACCCCAAAAGCAATTAATTTGGATGACTTGATACATCAAAGTACAGTGATGAATTTGATCACAAAGCTTTCAAAACGTTCACATGATTGAACAATGTATCACAATTATACATCAACCATAATAAAATCATTTATGGAACTATCAATTCGTACTGGTGCTTGCCTTGCTTGGGAGTTTGATGAGGACATTACAGTACTGCTTGAACTGCTAACTCCTATCACTTTTCCACTCTTCCAACTCTTCGGGATTCATCGCCATCGATTTTTACTCTAACTTCGAATTTGTTACATTAGGGCAGCTATAGTTCAACAGTGTATTGGTTTCAAATCAGAACCAAAGAGACTATATGGGAATTACTTGAGATTGAAGTGGCAAATTACCCGATATAAACATTTAGGCAGGGAAGAAGAACATCCGTTTTGGGCTATGAAAGGCTTCTTCTAAGACACTGGTCTCGAACTCCAAACTTAAGTCACAATTTAGATTTACAGGCAGGAAACATGGTTCCTTCGCCACAAAATTGCAAAAAAGTAAAGAAGAAACAGGGATGAGCATATTCAGAAATCAACTGAAGAGGAAGATTCGGATAAAAAATAAACTTTATTTCTTCATAATCTGCCTCCCTTAATAATTTTTAATCAATCTGTTAAGGGAACAATTAATTCAAAATTCAAAACTATACCCACATATACCCAGACTAACTACCATGGCAAAGCAAAGCACAGCTTTCACATCCGAATTCTGCAGTAGGGAATTCCAAACTCCCATTCTCTTCTTAGTAACGGGGAGTGTAGTTTGAATGTTGTAAAGCGGCTTGTGACTAACCTGTAATTTGCAGAGTGTAATGGTGTGAATGGGTGAGTTTGATTGAGACGAATTGGGGCTGGTGGAGAAGGCGAATCGGTGGCGCAGTTTCACCTACCAATAACCCCGCCATATGTGGATGGAAAAAAGTATATTGCAAGTGGAAATCGGGGGAGAGGCGACTGGCGGTTACAGACGCATCTTCGCTACCGCCTGCATCCTTAATGTTGTTCATTTTTTCGTCTTTGCCCTCGTTTCTCGTTCATGGCTTAATCCGGCAGCAGAGGAGTAAATTAAGGAGCGAGACATCAAACATTCGTCGCCGGGCATGTCGGTTTCACGTCGCTTCCCACCCTCTCACGAAGAAACAAAATGCCCCAATCCTGAATTCGATTCCCGTTCCAAGTTTGAGTCGGAGAAAATTGAGGTTGAATGATTCTCTATGACTTGTGAGAATCTGTTTGGGGGTTGAAAAGAAGAAGAAGAGGGAAAAACACAGATGCTATTCCCTTCCCGCGTGTAAAAGAAGAAAAAAAAGTAAACATATCCCCGAAAATTGTCGAGGGATTCGGTTTCCAAACCTCTTCAAAAAAAAAAAAAAACATGTGGCGGACTGCTTTTGGATAAAGGGGTCGCTGACGTGGAAGCATGTGGTGAACGGAAATTTGAATTGGAGAGGCTGTTTATGGGAAAACACTTATAATATTCTTTAGATTAATATAAAGTGACATATGTAAGGGATAATACGATAGTCAAGCAGGTATTAAATCCTGTATCGAGAGTGTGTCGGAATTTTCCCCCATCTGTGCTCATATTCAACTGTTACCGTTAATATGTGATAAATCTATCAAAATAAAGAGTATGCACCGAATATCTTATAGATTATGAAGGTTAAATTTAATTACAACAATTTTGAATGCATGATAGTTGGTTAGTTTGTGCCTGACTGTCATATCTTCAGGTGCTTTGATTGGAGTAGTTATAGTTCTAGAGCAAAATTCTGAAGCTTGTCTTGTTTTTATTTTATTTTTTTATTGAGTTAAGGATTTGGGGCTTGATACTAGACTGCATTGGGCTGAAATTTGTGATGTGAAGGCTGAGTTTATAGAAGTCCTCCCCCCAACTTGTCATGTTTGGGTTGGGCCCAACTTTATAAATTGAGGCCCTCTGCCGTGGATAGGATCTTAAGAACAGTGGTCATATCCATATTGCAGCGGCAGGACCATGGGCCCATTTGGTAGCTCACCACATTCCTCCTTAAAGCTAAATTAGGAGGCTTGATTCCAACCCTAGAAAATAGTAGTGGATTTGTAAGCAATGGGTCGGGTTGGGGCGGGTTTTGTCAAACCCAAACCCAAACCCATGGGTTTATCTGCCAAAAAAACCCGGGGTAAAACCCGTTGGGTTTGAAAAACTCAAACCCAACCCAACTCGTTGGGTATCCGCGGGTTCATGGGTACCCGTGGGTTTTTGTGGTAAAAATTTACAATAACAAGTTTCTTTCAAAATAAAATTTTAACATCAATTTTCTTATACAAATTAATCATACAAAAAACACCAATCTAGAGCATACAAGCAAATCGCAAATGATCAATACAAATTGTTCAAAATTAAAGATAAACATATATAAACAATAAGATTAATTGAAAGTTTATTC